CCTATTGGCGTAGAATCCATACCATATTAGATGAAAAATTTGTATAATAGGGTAACGGTTAGAAAATTATTTTTTAGTCAAAGTACAAGGCATAAGAAATACTTAACCTGCACATCTCTACTTTAAAATTTATTAAGATAAATCTTATTAATGACATTGAGATTTGTACATAAAGGTTCTCAGTTTTATATTCTAAAAAGCAAACTTATATCATTATTCATCCTATTTCCTATTGTTTATCGAAATAAATCCATTTATATGCAATCTAAAAATATACAATGATATTCATTCTGATGAAAATTATATCTTGAATATTCTTTGATTTTAGGTTAGGAAACGAATATAATGAGAAGTAATCAAATCTTTTTTTGACACGATATGAATTTCTATATTTACAAAAATGCTAGTTGTATCATGAACTATTAATATTGAATTCTCTATTGTTATAGATATTTTGGAATCAAGTTCAGATCAATTGACGAACTATGGTAAATTGCTTGCTAAATTACCTGATTTTGGTTCTTTGCCTATGGCACAATGTGTATTAGCTGCACTTCAACTATACAATTGTGGACGTGATTTGATTTGCCTTGCATCTATTCTAAGTGTTTTAAATACAACAAGTTTATTAACAAAATTACCGCAAAGTTTTAAAAGTTCAGATGGCGATTTTATGACACTTCTAAGTGTAATGAATGAAATTTTATTAATTAAACAATCTGTTCCAGCACGTGCATTTAAATTAACACGTGTTTGTGAAGCTAAAGGTCTTAGTCATATAAAACATATTATTGGACAAGCATTAAGACGATATACTAGTTTGGAAAAATCATTTGATCTTTCAAATGATTATCGTGAACAAGCTCAAATAAAATGTGATAACTGGGAATTAATAGCTAAAGCATTATTAGCAGGTTATTCAGACAACGTCTTTGTTTCTAAAAGAGATTTACAAGATAGGACTCATCATTTTGTGCGTTATAGTAGTAAAAATGATACAGCTGTTTTAGATTTAAAATCAACATTAACACGACCCATTAGTCAAGCACCGGTATCTCTTGTCGTTGCACGAGACATTCTTTATTTGAGTTCAGTTCGTTTAACAGCTATAATTTCATTCTTAGGAGAAATAAAAGTTGATTGGATCGAACATAATATTGAACGTCAAATAAAATTAAATGAAGCTGAAGAAAATTATCTTAAAGAAAATAATGGATATTCAACTGCAAAATCAATGTTCTCCAATAAGATTCAGCTAGGATTAAATAATAGACTTCTTAGTTTAAGTGGTCCGGCAGGTGTTGTTCTCAATAGTGAATTATATCTGTTTCAACAAATGATTATTGAGCATCAATTTTGTTTAGAAAATAATAATTCTACAAAATATAAAAATTTATCACAAAATTTAGATAGTGTCATGAAAATGACTCAAATATTTAATCCAATGATTTGGAGATGGGAAGCTCAAAAACAAGTTAAAATAACAGTTAATAGTAATACAGCCACTAAAACATGTGAAATAACAATTAGAGGAAGAGATTCACAAGTTCAACAAGTCAAAAAAGAATTTGATTCATTTCTAAGTTGGTTACAAGAGTGTGCTGTTATTAGACATCCTAACGCAGGTACAGAGAAATACTTTTTCTTTTGATGTTTAGCATTTCTTTAAATGATCTTCTATGAACGCAAACTAATTTTAGCTTGTTTTTTTTAAATTAATTAATTTCAGGTGTTTCTCCACGTCTTCTTCGTCCTCAAATGCGTATTTATTGCGAAGATATTGAACAACGAATTTCTCATGTCACAGATCCTACACGAACATTTATTGATTTGTATAATAGTGTCAAAGGTTCGACAGCAACACGTGAAACACGAATGGAAGTTGTTGCTTGGATAGCTGTTTGTAAATTTGATTGTAAATTAGAAGGTGGTTTTGTTCGAGATTGGATTGTTGGAAAATATACAGCACATCCAACTAGTACCGATTCAAAAGATTGGATTGAATATAAGACAAATTATAACAATGAAGAAATTCCTTACATGAAAAGAGAAATTGTTCCAGCTGATTTAGACTGTCATTTACCTACACATGCTTATTTTGATATTGAGAAATTTCAAGATGAACTTTATAGATTTGGTATTAATTGCAAACATTATCGAGAAAACTGGAGATATATTTTATTAATTGATGAAGATACTCGAACAGGACCATTTACTATGGATTTAATTGAACCACATGTTGCTTTAACACAGGATCGTATTGATTTTGATGTGAGTAATTTGGTATTAGAAAAAAAATATACGCGTGATTTAGGCATGCGAATTGACATTCAACAAAAACCCTATTTGATTGAACTTGAAACAATTGTTGATAATATAAAAAACAAACGTTTTTATGTTCTTCGTACTATTGACAATAGAGTAACCGAACGTATTCAAAAAATGACAAATATTCGCCAATGGAAACAATTAGGACAATCATTCAATGTTTTACCCAATCCACATCCAAAATGTAACGTACTTCTTGTACCATTACATCATACAAGTACTTCATATATAGCTCTGTCAAAACAGATGCAATTGATCAATAGTTCATTAAAGATTTTATCCATCGAGGAAATTAAAAATCCATATTTGGAAGAAATATATGAAGGTATGAAAAAAGTAATCGCTAGGCAATGTCCAGGATTTAATCCAAATGAGCGTGAACTTTTTCATGGTACAAGTGGTGATGGAATTAATGGAATAACAGAAGATGGCTTTGATGATCGATTTTTCAATCCGAATGGAGCTTGGGGTAAGATTTATCTTTGAACTATTAATTTTCAGATCCTAAAACACTTATTTATAATCCTTCATGTTTAAATTTAATTATGAAATAAGACCTTTAGTTTAACATAATAAATCTTATAGTTTTGATACAAATAAAACGTACGTTCATATCTTTAAATAATTCAGCTTAATATATGAAAATGATTTGATAGAGAATAGTATGGTTCCGAAAAACTCTGACATTGACATATTTTATTATTTTATATGATTGATTATTTTTTGGTTTATCATATAGGTCATGGTGCCTATTTCGCTGATGATACTCGAAAATCGCATAATTACACAAATCCTGATGCAACAGACGGATCACGTGTCATATTTTATAATAAAGTGCTCTTGGGAAATGAGTCAATCTATTCGACCGCCGACAGTTCATTGGTATCTGCACCGATAGGTTATCATTCAGTTCAAGGAACAGAATTTAAATATAAGGAATATATAGTGTACCGCTACGGTCAGGCTAGACCTTATTTAAAAATCATTTATACAGTTTAACTTACTACAAAATTTATGATTATTCAACGAAAATCATGTCGATCTTCGCGAATAAAGAATAATAATTGGACATTATCATGTGTGAATGTAGAGTATTTTCTTTTCTCTAACACAAAATAAAACTAGATAACATATAATTTCTATTGTGAATTAATAAAATTTTTATTTACTCTGTGTATCATTAGCATTCAAATAAAATCCATCTTGAGAGTGTGGAATGTGGATGGGTAGAAATATGAGCACATGGACGCTATGGTGTGAATGTATATGTAGATGATAACTTGTGAAGAAAAGATTGATACATAAACCCTTATTGCATACGGCTGTCACCTACACTTCACCACCTCTTGATACTAGTAGCCTGTGAAAAACTATTTTTCTTCCTCTGTTTCAAGTGTGCATATGCTGGCGGTGGAAACTCAGCTTTTGTGGACTATGAGAAGACACGCACCAACACTCCAATATGCTTGCACTTTGATTGGATGTGGGTGTGCATTAGAGTTAGGATTAAGAGAAGACACATCCACACCAGACTCATATCAACACTCACACCCTTAACTGAGCCATGAAAATAACAATAGTTAAGCACGAGCGCATTTTCCAGCCTTTTCTCTGATTTTACCATCAAATGGGAAAAAATTCATTTTTCAACAATAAAACAGAATCTAAAAAGTTCTAAATAAGTACTTTTGTAGCTCATGATCTCACGATTCTAATGAGACAAGACACGTGCCTCTATCTCTTGTTATAAAAATCTAAATAGGTTTATAAGAATACACACAAATACATGCTATAAGGCATACTGGGACTATCTATATTGTACAGGATTTTTTAATCTTATTAATTGTAAACTCAAACAAATAAAACTTTCCTAGTCAGACTTTGATGCTAAATCTAAATAAAATATTGTCATACAATTTGAAAGAATAAAGTAATTGAGATTTAACAAATTCTATGAAAAAAAGGAAGTTCATAATTGTGAATTCAACATACGCAGTTATTCAAGTTTTTTACGATTTTTTTCAGCGAGGCAGTAATCGAATCACAATAAAAACTATAAATGCGTCACCAGCTCGTCAAGCTGTATCATATCATATATAAAAGAACGAGAAAAACAGACACTCACATTTTACTTCCCCCATACCTTACATTGTTATCGCTTCTGTCAATATGCCAAGTTGGAAAAAATTCTACCAACTATGAATGATTGTTCGCACAGAAGAACAACAGAAGAGATGGCGACGACAACAACAACTACTGATCGAACATTTCTTTCATCTGATATACCTTTCAGTTTGTTCACTAACAACTTTAAACAAGATTCCATCCATGATCTAAAGGAAGAGAGTAAAACATTTCTATGGCATCAATTTATGCTTGATGTTCTCCTTGATGTTCCTCGCTCACCAAAAGACATCGAAAACATGATTGCGGCTTGTCATCTTGTGAATGATTATGATCGCGACGAGCCAATTACATTATTGCAACATGAGATCGATAGATTTTTAACGGAGTATAGCTCCGATACGACGATAAATTGGTACACGCAAGATTCATTTCTCTATCGTGCCTTCAACAAGGCTTGTCGGATGCTCAATAGTGATGCAATAATCTTATTTCATCCGATTATTAAGGATCTTACTGCTCAATTGAAACAGTATCACAATCAACAGATGACTAGCGGAGAGCTTGCACTACCGTTGACTGTTTATCGTGGACAAACAAAAATGGCCAATGATGAATTGAAGAAAATTGAAGAGAATATTGATGGTCTTATATCGATGCACACATTTTTATCGACAACAGTGCACTATAATGTCGCTTATGATTATGTTTTTGGTGCTGATCCAGATACAACCGTAATCTTTCAAATTACTGTTAAAGACACAGAACAAGGCAAACGCATGAATACATTTGCTCGTATCTCTCAAAAAAGTTCATTTAAGGATGAAGAAGAAGTTCTTTTCGGTGTGTCATCCGTCTTTCGAATCATTTCTGTTCAACAAGAATATTGTTTCTGGTTTATCGAATTAGAATCAACCACTTTCAAAGAAGATGAAACTGTGCAAAGATTTATGAGCGAGATTCAAACTTATTTGTATCAAAGTTCTGGTAAACAAGTACCGTTTTTTGTTTTCAAACAATTGTTTACAATTGATTCTATTAATTATGCTCGACCGTTCATCGAACTAACACGCTTCATTCTTGTTGAAACAATTCAATCGTTTCTGGCTCAGGCTTATAAGAAAGAAGGTCGCATGAGAGAATTGATCGAAAACGTGCCGGACTTACATGCATTAATCACAATGAGCAACGCAGAGATTGTTCGTCCGAAAAGCAGAATTATCTGTCTTCTTTTCGATATGTTACATGATTTTCTCTATCCAAAGAATAACAAGGATCAAGAAGTAATACTTTTTGATAACAATAATGGCGCATCTTTACTGTGTTTCGGTGGATTTTTATTACTGACCGGTGACTTAATGAAGGGTTGTCGATATTTTAAAATACTTCTAGAAAATGGATCTATCGATGACACAATGAAACTCTTTATACATAGAATATTAGAAGCAAGTGATGTTGCCATAAAGGACAAAGAACTGGTATGGAATTCTGATAAGATGGCAATGAAAGTACTTGAAACTTCTGCCGCACAATTTATGCCTGGTTGGTTTCCGAATCTTATTGCTTCTACTCATGTGACTATAGATGATCCCAACAAGAAGATAGAAAATAGAGTGAGTAAGTCCGATTTGTTGATCAATCAAGAATCGTTAGACAATACAGTTGATGAAAAACTACGTCTAATATATTTGGGTCACACTTATTTTCAAAAAGACAATTTTCTGGAAGCACTCAACTACTGGGAAGAAGCAGCAGAAATCGAATCTCATATGCCTGCTTCAGCCGAAACGATCTATAATGGAAGTGTTTATATTCAAATGGCTGCAGCATACTTCAGATTGAACAATAAGATCGATGCTTTAAACACCATGGAAAAAGCCATCGAATATCTGAAATCTTATTATCCACCAACACATCGAATGTTTGCTACTTTGAACTTCTTGCACGGATATTACCTCATGTACAATGAAAAGCTTTCTGAGGCGATCAAATCCTTCAATAAATCATTGGAAAATCCGCATTTTTCTAACAATGAAGATTTTTGTGCTCTAGTTTATACTTTATTAGTCTCTGCTTCTATGCAATATGGTGATCTGGACTCTGCAGAGTACTATTGCCTTCGAGCAGTCGCATATAAATCAACAAATATTGGAGCACAAGCTATTCATATCTTAAGACAAATACCGGAGCTAAAAATGGTGGCTCAATACAATGGTCCAGATTTCATTCGTGAAATGATTAGTGGTAATCTTCAATCTGTTCAACAATTAATTTCGCAGATACATCCCCATTCGAGTACCATTTCTGGATTAAACAATGAGGAAACATGGACTTTCGAAAAATTTATTACTGTTGCTGATCATTATCGTCATCGAAAAGATAATGAACATGCTGAATTGTATTATAGCAAAGCACTCGACAAGATGACAGAAGCCGAATCGAAATCTATGTGGAATGTCTATAGAAAAATGGTCAGAATGGGTAGTAACAGCGATCAATATCAGGATTATTTTATCAAACAATTTTCCAAATATGATGATAATAATCCAAATCATTTTTCAATGATTGCTACACTACAAACAATCCTGTATAAATTGAGTCTCTTCCAAAATGAATATACAGTGGCATTCGATTGCTTGATAAGTAGTGTATTGATGGCGGTAAAATCATTATTTTATCAAAGTAAAGCCGATTCAAAGTGTATATCCAAACTACTTGATGGCTTTCTCCATCATGATTTAATCGCTAAGGTTGCCATCTTTCTAACAAAATTGATGGATTTCTATTCAATCGATTTAATAGCGCATCTCCAACCGATTTTATCGAAATATATAGTTATTGATGATCTAGCTTCAATCATACATCATACAGCGGTGGATTGTTTCTTTGATCGAATGAAGTCGAAATGCGAGAATGATCCATTGGCGGAGACCATTTTTCGATTTCTCCATACGATATTAAAATGTTTGCGCCAGAGTATTAGTTCGACGGAGGAATCAATACTCCCATTTGGAGATCAAGTTTTGAAGTTTCTTAGAAATTACAAGGATGAAAAATCACCGTGGTTCTCTTTGATGAATGCTTTAGAATCGTTATGTATCGGTGACAATGAAAATTTCTTCATCAATGTCGATCATTTTCGATTGCAAACAGCTACTTTTGAACGATACCAACAACTGAAAGAAAATTTATCTATTATCTTTGCAAAATTTGATGAAACTAAGCTGTATTCATACTTAAAACGTATCGACAAAATTTTGTGAACTTCTACATATTTCTTATATTCATATGAACTAATGAGTGTTTCAGACCAAATAAACCTTTCTATATTTTATTGGCATATTTATTAATAAAAAATTGTTCAGTTTTACTTTTTTTTTTAATTTTTTGAAAGATTCGCCTTTTCATCCTCTACACGAATCTATATGCTGGTTCATATCATGGCCCAATCAAGATCTTTCATAATTAAAGTGATTTCTGATAGTTTAGTGTGGATGAGGGTTATTTGAGACTGAGATTTAGATATCAGCCTTGTCCTTACTTACATTGTTAAATAGGAAACAATTCTGAAATAGATGTGAAATATTGATGCTGACCATTATTCACTTAATGTATGTTGTCAATAGAACATGGAAAGAAAATATCTGAATAATAGGCATTAATTGGATTTTTTAAGGATTTGAAACGAAACAGAAGGTGATATGAGGAAGTGTAGGTTCGAATCTCCCGATAAATAGTAATGAAGTGTGTGAAGAGCCATAACCAGTTATATGGTGGGGTGAAACTGTGAGTTGAACACATAATATTGGATCTTTCGTGCCGTACATATTTGTTCTAGTGAAATGATCGAAAGCAATAAAGTACGGACCATTTATTAATTTAAATGTGATCTAAGAACAATAACTAATCATCAGATTGACTATTCTTGATTTTCTATTCGTACTCAATGATCTTCAGAATGTTACGGATATATCTATTTCCCTTATCATGCTGAGAAACAGTCAAATTATTCCTTAGGTATACGTAAATTGCGTTTGTGAGCATACTGAACCGCAAAGGATATGATTGTCTGTCTTCTCTGGCGGCACTATGTTTGATTATACTAACGTGGATTTTTTTTATTCAATGTATTCTGACGAAGATGGCATAAAAAATTCTTCTAACTGTAATGTTTATAGCATTATTTTCAGTATTACTCTGATTGAACAGAAAATGTATGAGAGATCATCACATTCTATTCTTCATTTTTCCATGCCTATACCTTTCAATAGATTCATTTATTGTTATTCTATGTTTTTATTGCTGTTTCACGCATACTTTTTTTTACATTGTCAATTATAATTACTTATAATCTTTTAGAACTATAGCTTAAGAATATCTTAATATACAAGTAATTTTAAAGCAGAAACCCCAAAAACTATTGAAAATATGTATAGAATTCAAAGTTTATATTCTTGACGTGTATCAAACATTGTGAATTAACAATTTAAGATATGATGAGTACGAAAAAAACTACAACTATTTTATTACCATTGTTTAATCAGAACTCATTTTCATAGTTTTAAAATATTCTTGGCTAATATATGTACGATATTTAAAATAATAGTGTTGTTGGCATAAGATACAATAATTCAAATCTGTCCCATACCACCGTCAACGAAAAGTTCTATACCTGTTACGTAGCTACTATCATCTGAAGCAAGAAAAACCACAACTTTAGCTACTTCATCAGGTGTACCCAGACGATTCATTGTTGTAGCAGCTGCACATGCGTCGACATATTCTTTCTGTTCGTTTTCAGTGTTTCCTACATTTCTTAGTATCGGTGTATCTATTGGTCCTGGACTTACAGCATTCACTCGAATATGACGTTCTTTTAGATCGACTGTCCAGCACCGAGCAAAAGATCGAACAGCCGCTTTTGAAGCACTGTAAACACTTTCATTTGGATATGCTTTGATAGATCCAACTGATGCATTCAATATAATCGATCCACCATTGGCAAAAATTGGTAAAGCTTTCTGTACAGTAAATAAAACACCTTTAACATTGATATTGAATGTATCATCAAAATGTTTTTCAGTAACTAAATGAATTGGTGCGGTCTCGAAAATTGCAGCGTTAGCGAAGAGAATATCTAAACGACCTTTTTCTTTTTGAATCAAGCTGTATAATCTATCAAGATCAGCCATATTGGATACATCTCCTTGCACAGCAGTGACATTTTTGCTATTAATCTTTTTTATGGCTTCATCAAGTGCAGTTTGACGTCGTCCAGTGATGAAAACATGTTCTGCTCCTTCATCGATAAATCGTTTAGCAGTAGCCAAACCAATACCATCAGAACCTCCTGTGATGAGAGCAATTTTTCCTTCAAGTTTACCCATTTGTCTTTTAGTCTAGTCGTTGATTGCCTATGCTTATTCACTATTGTACACTATATTAAAAACTTACAACCTATCATACGTTTTAATGCCTAAATAAATGTTTCGCTTGTGGTGATATTTATTTTGTATTCTATTACAAAAACTACTCTCATCATGATTACCTTGATTCTTTTTCGTTCTTGATTTTCTTTTATTAAGGCAAAGAAAGCTTGTAAATGCTCCTTCCTTTCAATCGTCGCAGATAACTTGCAATTAAGATATGCACTTTTCAAATAGAAACAGGCATAATTTTGTATATGACATAGAAATGTCACACCAAGTTTTCATGTCCAAAAATGTTTATTTGCTGTTGACAATATCCGAAAAAAAACTAAATCGTTTTCAAAGTGTTGCAATAATTTTTACGATTAGATGGATAAAATTCATCGTTTATATGAACGTATTATATCCATGGAGCATGTTTTAGTTTTTGTCTTTTGTAATTAACGAGCAAACAGCCGTAGAGCCTATTTTCCAACAGAAGAATTAGTTTTTGAAATATGTATTGAATAGACCACCAATGTTGACGTTAAATGTTAATTTGCTTTTTTATCATTCTCGTTTCATACACATAAGTTTTCGACTGAGACCCACGAGAAAGATGTAGCTTCTAGTCAAAAAATCTTTGGTAAATAGCACAAATACTATGGTCGCGACCAGCAGCCGACTTTGCCCAGTTATGTTTAATTCTGACAGAAACTAGAAAAATCCTATTACTAGATCAGGATGTTAGATTTCCTCTATTCTACAGAATTTTACTGCTGGAATCGATCTAATGTCATTCATCTGAGTACTTACCTAAAACTGTAATCTATCAGCTATACATCAGAAATTCCATAAGATTTATTTATGGATTAGAGTTCCAAATGACTTGATTCTTATAGGAATTCATTGTAAAATACTTTTCTAAAAGGTAGACATATTCATGATTCATTTTGAATTTCGTTGCCACTATTACCTTGTGTCACATAGATATGAAAATTGAAATGTAATAATTATAAATATAACATTATTAACATTATATCTTGTAGTATGTTCTGTTTTTTGAATTAGACATATTTAGAGATTAAGATATGAAATACAAAAATCAGACATATATTATGGAGCACCAGTTATCAAATTAATTATTTCTGCTTAATTTCTACTTTTGACATTAAATTTCAAACTGATTTTTTTTCTCATGATGTCGTTTCGATTTCAATCTCTTATCTATCTCATGCCCTTCTGTAATTTTTGCTTAACAATTTTTGATTTTTTATATTTTTAACGATTTTTCGTAGTGTCGTTCGTTTGGTCTCTCTGATCATGTTTTCTTTGCATGACTGTTATCTTTTGCTTTACCACTCTTACGTGTTATTATTTTCACTATCTTTACTTATGTGAATCCATATTTATAAGGCTTTTTCATCCTAGTATTAGGTTACTTGAATAAATATTCAAATATACAATCATGTCTTTAAACAGATAGAAAAAAAACCTGGAAGCACTTTTGCATGCAATTACGATTCATGATTATGAGTCAAAAATATTTGAAGAATTAATCTGTAGAAGTGTTCAAGAATTTATAAGGTACAGTTTCTAAAATTGAGGTAATTCATGAAGTAATCATTTATAGATAATGATCATGGACCAAGATAAACATCCAAAACAAGGTACACCTTTCAATATTTTTCATACATTTTTATTATTCTTTTATGAGATTCGTATCCATTCTTAACCTATGGTCAAAGCTTCATTTGTCGAGAATAGAACTTCGAAATGTGTTTATTAGCTCATATGATAATCTTAAAGAGTTTTCTAGTCGAGAACCTTTAAATGTATCACTATTTCCTTCGAAATCCAATCCAAATGTAATCTTATATGAAAGATAAAAAAGAATCAAGATCGATTTTGTTACTTGTTTTTGTTTTTCAAAGAATCCGTTAGTTTATGAATGAAAAATAAAGTGAAAAATTCTTATACTATTCTTTCAAGATTTATTGCTAAAACTCAATTGAAATCTAAATTCTCTATAAATTTTCTCATGAATATTTGTTGATTGAGTCACGTATAATCATTCTCATTTATAACAAAGTCAAAGAAACATACTATTAGAAAAAAGAATCCAAATATTAACACAAAAACTTTTATCTACTTGGTTATATGCTTCATTTTGGTAGGACTACTTGGCACAAATCACGGCTAGACCTAAGTAAGTTGTCAATAATAATACAAATATAATGATTCGTCACAAAACTATTGAGTTTTCAATATATCCATTTTCTAGAAGCCTCAGATTTTCAGAGAACTCGCACTTTTGAACTTTGATCTACAACTTAGGGGGTACAAAGAATTCAACTAGACTAGTTTCCACAAAAAATTTATGTTATTTTTTTACGGACGCTAATCTAGTGAAGTTCGCTACATGCACATAACTTCAGACCAAAAATTCGAATATATGAGTTTTTCGAAAATCGAGCGTCATACAAGAATTTCTCGAAACTAGACATATTGAGAACCCGATAGCTGACTGAAATCGCATAGGAACTTGATTCTTCTTAGAGCTTCTCATTAGACTATTATGTAGTATCTACAAGAACAAAATCGTTGAAATTGGAAGGGAACATCTGAAGAGGTTCCCTCTTTTGTCAAGATAATTAGCTTTTTCGTTTTGTTTTTTTTGAAGCTTTCAGTTTACATCGACTCAAGGTAATTGTACTGGTAGCTGTAAGTATACTTCTCACGTCAATCAATGTGGTGATGGATGCTTTTGCTCTCCAAGATGGGCAGGATATGGAGTCTGTGAAACATCAAACAAGTAATTTTATCTTCTAATACACATATTTCCCGGCTCATCCAGTAATTAAAAATCTTAAAAGAAAACCAACATCTTTCAAATATTTCTTTTGTATTAATTAATATTACTAATAATAAAAGAAACAAAAATAAACTATAATTAACAAGTACAGTTATAATCAGATATAATAAAACAAAAAGTTCACAAAAATTCAAATCAAGCATGTAATATTGAAAAACTTTGACAACAATTATGTAGGAACAGACCGATACTTTTAAAGTTTGTAGAAAACATCCTACGTTATATCAACTACCTTATTTCATCATAATTAGTAATCAAGTATGTACTGATTTATCAAGACACAAGTACAAGTTTACAACATTATCTTCTTTAATTTGTGAAGTTATTAATTTGGTCGAATATATTATGATGAATGACCATATGTACTGTCTAATATATAAGTATAGGATGAAAACTAAAAGAAATTATTTTCAAACATCATTTCTTGTATTCAAGGTCGCTTCTTTAAGGTTTTATAGATTGTTGAAATCCGATGAATATATATTTAAGCTTTGTCTTCACTATGAAAAATAGCATTGAAAATCAGGTAAAATAATGTCTACTAAAAGTCTTACAGATACTTAAAAAGAAAATATAATTCATCTGAAGGCTATAACTCATAAGGCGCTTTATGCAAATGATCTCCATATACTTGCTAAGATAATGCAATATTTTCAAAGTTAAAAACCAAATATATATTGAAAAGTTAATGCATGAAAGAGTTCTATTCAAAAAAAAACTGCTTTAAGAAAGTTTAAAACCGAAAAGAGTTTCAATGTTTCCAAGTTCTTCGAAAATGAATTGTTTTATATGTTGCAAAGATAACAAATGAGTTATATCCGATAGAGTTTCTTTTTTTTTTTACTAGATATTCCTACATTTGTATTCTATCAATAGTTGTAATGCCAACAGTTCAAAGTCATGTTTACTAGATGAGAGACTCCAAAATAACAAGGAAAGTAAAATGTAGGAAAATCATCAGAAATGATTATAATTTATTAGAATCCTTGAGTCTCAGATTCAAGTTTAAATTTCAATTTTTTTTCAATCTTAATGTATTCTATTCTTTTATATATTTTTATTCAATAAAATATTTTTCTTGTGTATTAT